AGTCTTGAGTCAGACCTGATTTAGTCCTGATTTAGTTTTGAATCAGTCCTGGTTTAGTCCTGGTCTAGTCTTGAGTTAGTCCTGGTCTAGTCCTGCTTTAGTCTTGAGTCAGTCTTGATTTAGTCCTGGTTTAGTCTTGAGTCAGTCTTGATTTAGTCCTGGTTTAGTCTTGAGTTAGTCCTGGTTTAGTCTTGATTTAGTCCTGGTTTAGTCTTGAACCAGTCCAGATTTAGTCCTGGTTTAGTCTTGAGTTAGTCCTGGTTTAGACTTGAGTCAGTCCTGGTTTAGTTCTGGTTTAGTCCTGGTTTAGACCTGGTTTAGTCTTGAACCAGTCCAGATTTAGTCCTGGTTTAGTCTTGAGTTAGTCCTGGTTTAGACTTGAGTCAGTCCTGGTTTAGTTCTGGTTTAGTCCTGGTTTAGACCTGGTTTAGTCCTGGTTTAGTCTTGAACCAGTCCAGATTTAGTCCTGGTTTAGTCTTGAGTCAGTCCAGATTTAGTCCTGGTTTAGTCTTGAGTCAGTCCTGGTCTAGTCCTGCTTTAGTCTTGAGTCAGTCCAGATTTAGTCCTGCTTTAGTCTTGAGTCAGTCCTGGTTTAGTCCTGCTTTAGTCTTCAGTCAGTCCTGGTTTAGTCCTGGTTCAGTCCTGGTTTTGTTCCTGGTTTAGTCCTGGTTTAATCTTGAGTCAGTCCTGGTTTAGTCCTGGTTCAGTCCTGGTTTTGTTCCTGGTTTAGTCCTGGTTTAGTCATGAGTCAGTCCTTGTTTAGTCCTGGTTCAGTCCTGGTTTAGTCCTGGTTTAGTCTTCAGTCAGTCCTGATTTAGTCCTGGTTTAGTCTTGAGTCAGTCCTGGTCTAGTCCTGGTTTAGTCCTGGTTTAGTCCTGGTTTAGTCTTGAGTCAGTCCTGGTTTAGTTCTGGTTTAGTCCTGGTTTAGTTCTGGTTTAGTCCTGGTTTAGTCCTGGTTTAGTTCTGGGTTTTCACTGTGGTCTGTGCCCAAGGCTGTCAATATAAAGCCAATTACAGCAATGGCCAATAAAACTAGAGGAGAGGAGAGAGGGATGGAGAGAGAAAGAGGTGAAGAGAAAGAGAAGGAGAAAGAAATGAGAGAAAAATGGAGTGTAAGCGATGGAAAATATAAAGGAGAGACTTCAATATACAGTTTACGAGAGAGAGGTGGGAGAAGACTGGAGGAGAAAGGAGAGAAAGGAGAGAGAGAGAGAGAGGGAGACAGAGTAGGAGAAAAAGGAGGAGAGGAGGAGGATGAATGGATGAAGTGATGCGTGAGGTTCCAGATTGAAAGAGCTCAGAGGGACCTGATCACACACAGCCACTGGAAAAGAGCCAAACATATGATTTATCCACCGCCACCAAAGACCTGATCCAGACCCGGTTTAGACCTGATACTAGACCCGGTTTAGACCTGATACTAGACCCGGTTTAGACCTGATACTAGACCCGGTTTAGACCTGGTCCAGACCCGGTTTAGACCTGATCCAGACCTGGTTTAGACCTGATACTAGACCGAGTTTAGACCTGATCCAGACCCGGTTTAGACCTGATACTAGACCCGGTTTAGACCTGATACTAGACCCGGTTTAGACCTGATACTAGACCCGGTTTAGACCTGATCCAGACCTGGTTTAGACCTGATACTAGACCGAGACCTGATACCTTTAGACCTGACCTTTAGACCTGATACTAGACCCGGTTTAGACCTGATCCAGACCTGGTTTAGACCTGATACTAGACCGGGTTTAGACCTGATCCAGACCTGGTTTAGACCTGATACTAGACCCGGAGACCTGAGACCTTTAGACCTGATACTAGACCCGGTTTAGACCTGATCCAGACCTGACCTGGTTTAGACCTGATACTAGACCCGGTTTAGACCTGAGACCTTTAGATCCAGACCCGGTTTAGACCTGATACTAGACCCGGTTTAGACCTGATCCAGACCCGGTTTAGACCTGATCCAGACCCGGTTTAGACCTGATACTAGACCCGGTTTAGACCTGATCCAGACCTGGTTTAGACCTGATACTAGACCCGGTTTAGACCTGATCCAGACCCGGTTTAGACCTGATACTAGACCCGGTTTAGACCTGATACTAGACCCGGTTTAGACCTGATCCAGACCTGGTTTAGACCTGATACTAGACCCGGTTTAGACCTGATACTAGACCCGGTTTAGACCTGATACTAGACCCGGTTTAGACCTGATACTAGACCCGGTTTAGACCTGATCCAGACCCGGTTTAGACCTGATACTAGACCCGGTTTAGACCTGATACTAGACCCGGTTTAGACCTGATCCAGACCTGGTTTAGACCTGATACTAGACCGGGTTTAGAACTGATCCAGACCTGGTTTAGACCTGATACTAGACCCGGTTTAGACCTGATACTAGACCCGGTTTAGACCTGATACTAGACCCGGTTTAGACCTGATACTAGACCCAGTTTAGACCTGATCTAGACCCGGTTTAGACCTGATCCAGACCCGGTTTAGACCTGATCCAGACCTGGTTTAGACCTGATACTAGACCTTTAGACCTGATCCAGACCTTTTAGACCTGATACTAGACCCGGTTTAGACCTGATACCTAGACCCGGTTTAGACCTGATCCAGACCTGACCTGACCTGTTTAGACCTGATACTAGACCCGGTTTAGACCTGATACTAGACCTAGACCTGACCCGGTTTAGACCTGATCCAGACCTGGTTTAGACCTGATACTAGACCTGACCCTAGACCTGGTTTAGACTGATCCAGACCCGGTTTAGACCTGATACTAGACCCGGTTTAGACCTGGACCTTTTAGACCTGATACTAGACCCGGTTTAGACCTGATCCAGACCCGGTTTAGACCTGATTTTTAGACCTGAGACCCGGTTTAGACCTGATCCAGACCCGGTTTAGACCTGATAGACCTTTAGACCCGACCCGTTTAGACCTGATACTAGACCAGACCCGACCCGGTTTAGACCTGATACTAGACCCTTTAGAAGATTTTTAGACCTGATACTAGACCCGGTTTAGACCTGATACTAGACCTTTAGACCCGGTTTAGACCTGATCCAGACCCGGTTTAGACCTGATGACTAGACCTTTAGACCTGACCGATTTTAGACCTGATCCAGACCTGGTTTAGACCTGATACTAGACCGACCTGATTTAGACCTGATCCAGACCTGGTTTAGACCTGATACTAGACCCGGTTTAGACCTGATACCAGACCTGACCCGGTTTAGACCTGATGACCAGACCCGGTTTAGACCTGATAGACTAGACCCGGTTTAGACCTTTAGACCTGATCCAGACCTGGTTTAGACCTGATACTAGACCCGGTTTAGACCTGATCCAGACCTGATACGGTTTAGACCTGATACTAGACCCGGTTTAGACCTGATCCAGACCTGGTTTAGACCTGACCCCGGTTTAGACCTGATACCAGACCTGATCGGTTTAGACCTGATCCTGACCTCCAGACCCGGTTTAGACCTGATACCCAGACCTGAGGTTTAGACCTGATACCCCTTTAGACCTGATCTAGACCCGGTTTAGACCTGATACTAGACCCGGTTTAGACCTGACGACCCGGTTTAGACCTGATACTAGACCCGGTTTAGACCTGATCCAGACCTGATTTAGACCTGAGACCCGGTTTAGACCTTTAGACCTCCCCGTGATCCAGACCTGGTTTAGACCTGATACTAGACCCGGTTTAGACCTGAGACCTGACCTCCAGACCCGGTTTTAGACCTGATCCAGACCTTTAGACCCGGTTAGACCCGGTTTAGACCTGATCGACCGTTTAGACCTGATACTAGACCCGGTTTAGACCTGATCCAGACCCGGTTTAGACCTGATACTAGACCCGGTTTAGACCTGATCCCCTTTAGACCTGATGACCCGGTTTAGACCTGATACTAGACCCGGTTTAGACCTGATCCCAGACCTGATCCTGGTTTAGACCTGATACCTAGACCTGATTAGACCTGATTTAGACCTGATCCAGACCTGGGTTTAGACCTGACCTGACCGACCTGATAGACCTAGACCTGGACCTTTAGACCTGATCCAGACCTGGTTTAGACCCCAGGGTTTAGACCTGATCTAGACCCGGTTTAGACCTGATTTAGACCTGACCAGACCTGGTTTAATCCTGATCTAGACCCGGTTTAGTCCTGATCCAGACTTGGTTTAGTCCTGGTTTAGTCCTGATTTAGACCTGGTTTAGTTCTGGTTCAATCCTAGTTCAGACCTGTTTTAGTCCTGGTTCAGTCCTCGTTTAGTACCTGGTTTATTCCTGGTTTAGTCCAAGTTTAGTTCTGGTTCTGTCCTAGTTCAGTCCTGGTTTAGTCCACATTTAGTCTTTGTTTAGCCCTCGTATAGTACCAGGGCAGACCTGGTTTTGTCTCAGTTTAAACCTGGTTTAGTCCTGGTCCAGTTCTGGTTTAGTCTTGGTCTAGTCCTAGTTTAGTCCTGGTTTAGCCCTAGATCAGTCCATGATTAGCTCTGGTTCAAACTTATCTCAGTTCTGGTTTAGTCCTATCATAGTCCCGGTGCAGTCCTGGTTTAGTCCTGATTCAGCCCTGATTTAGTCCTTGTTTAGCCACAGTACAAACCTGGTTTAGTCTCGGTTTAGTTGTGGTTTAGTCCTGGATTAGTCTGGGATTAGCCCTGATTTAGTCCTGATTTAGCCCTGGTCCAGTCCTGGTCCAGTCCTGGTTCAGTCCTGGTTTAATCCACTCTCTAAACTTTCTCATCTGACACAAAATCTCTGAGAGGAAAACCATTTGGCAAAAAGAGAAGAGACACATTGTACTTTCTGTTTTGTTTACTTGTTGTTGTTGTTGTTGTTGTTGTTGTTGTTGTTGTTGTTGTTGTTGTTGTTGTTGTTGTTGTTGTTGTTGTGTGTGTGTGTGTGTGTGTGTGTGTGTGTGTGTGTGTGTGTGTGTGTGTGTGTGTGTGTGTGTGTGTGTGTGTGTGTGTGTGTTGTGTGTGTGTGTGTGTGTGCACTCGTTTTTATATCTTTGTGGGGTCCACAACCTGAGATTTCACTCACGTCGTGGGGACCGATTTTTCGTCGTGGGGCCCGAGGCCTGGACCCCACGGGTCCAACCATCTAAATCACTGTAAAACGTCATTCTAATATGCCTAGTGAAGTTTTTTTTCAAAATTAGAAAAAGTCCCCTGGGGGCGAATTTTCATGAGAAAGTGTGCGTCGTGTGTATACCCTAGTGGTCATCGGGTGGTACTGCAGGGGCCCCATGAGGACATCCTCGGAAAAGTGTGTGTGTACAGGGTCCCCACGAGAATATATCCCAAACAGTAAAGTGTGTATTCCTATTATTTTACCATATCGACGAATCAGATAAATGATAAGTGAAACAATATATTATAGTATTCATTCTGAGTACATTTCTTTGCAATAATGAAACATACAAGTATGACATATGAGCGGTATTGGGGAGTAACAGATTACATGTACTGGAGTTACGTAATCAGAGTACAAATTATGAGTAACTGTATTCAGTTACAGTTACTTTTTCCATGAGAGGTAATTGGATTACAGTTACTTTGTTGAAATAAATGGATTACACAGAGGTATTTTCCCGTTTTCACATTTTGGGCTAAATCCCTTTTTTTTTTTTGGTAATTCCACTAATTGCCGGACACTAAACCAGGTCCAAACCAGGTCTAAACCCAAGTCCAAACCAGGTCTAAAACCAGGTCTAAACTAGGTCTAAACTAGGTCTAAACCAGGACTAAAGGCAGGACTAAAACCAGGTCTAAACCAGGACTAAAGCAGGACTAAAACCAGGTCTAAACCAGGACTAAAGCAGGACTAAAACCAGGTCTAAACCAGGACTAAAGCAGGACTAAAACCAGGTTTAAAACCAGGTCTAACCTAGGTCTAAACCAAGCCTAAACCAGGTCTAAAACAGGATTTAACAGGACTAAACCATGCTGTGCAGACCGTGTCTCCTCCTCCTCTATCAATAACATTTTTAATACGATTAAGTAAAGACTGGGCTTCTTTATTGTCTTTTAGTAGACTAAACATCTTATGTGAAGATTCCCTCGTCTTTGCTACTCGACAGCAAATCAAGTAACCCAAAGTATTCAGATTACATTACTCACTTTAAGTAATTTAATGGATTACGTTACAAACTACATTTTGGGGTATGTAATCTGTAATCTGTAGGGGATTACATTTGCCAGGATTTATGCAGAATATGATCAAATGTGAAATATATGAAGTCGGATCAGAAACTAGATTCTCTCTAGAATGAGAAGTAAACAAGAAGGGCCAAATAAAACAAGACAAAATTATGGTGCTATCCAAAAATGCAGAGTGTTATTGAGACATATATACAATATTTACAGTATCAAGTGCAATTGAGTCATGTAAGAGAGGCAAGAACTGACACAGTGACTTTGGTAAGAGAGTTCATGTAGGACGGCATTAGATCCATGTTAAGGACTAGAACCTCGACACCTGCCAGAGTTCAGAGCTCAATAGTGATCCTAATAGTCCATGTTCCAGGAGGGAACCTAAGTTTTAATCCACAAACAAGGAGGCGAAACGTAAAGATCCCCCGTAGGAGTCCAAGGTGCGTTGGAGGTGGTAGAAGCAGGAAGCGAAATAGGGATTGGCTACAGGGCCTCCTACCGCGTACAGAAGTGTAGGCTGGACAGTCACAGGTTTCCTTTGGGCTGAGCTGCTGGACTATTTGCTGTCGCCAGAAAACAGTCCCTTGAACCTGTACAAGAACAAACATGCAACAATGAATAAACTGTCTGTGTTTGAGTGTGTGTGTCCAGTGTTTGAATGAAGAGCACATTAGACCAAGGCCATTTTAATAAAACAGTGACAGCTCGTCACATAAACACTAAACACATGTCCACAATAAGACAAAGTGTTTACTTTAAAAACACAGAGCAACACTTTGGCACTAAGCACCTTTAAACCCAGTGTGTGTGTGTGCTGAAACACGGACAAAACTTAGCTAGCATTAGCTAGACAACACCATAAACACATTAGATGCAGATAAGAAAGACTCGCGCCACTTAGCATTAGCGCCGGTTAGCATTAGCGCCGGTTAGCATTAGCGCCGGTTAGCATAACATTAGCAACAAAGTGACACTCACCGACTCTTTAGTTTAACTGGGGGAGCAAAAACAGTCGCCGTGTTTGTTCCAGCGGTGAATGCACCTACAAAGTTGAAGAAGCACAACGTTTAAAACCGGATCCATTTAAATAAAAAAGGAGAGATCTAGAGAGAAAATAATTTACCTGAAAGTGCTCGAGCTCCTGCTTCTCCTGCGCCGAACAGTGGGCGTGGCTAAGGTCTCGTGGCAAAATCTCGCGAGATTATAAAGACACTACAGCAACAGTTTACAAATGCTGAAATATACAGCTGGGTTACACTGTCAGGGTGGAAAAAGTAACTTCTAGTACCAAATAATAAATAAATAAATAAATAAATAAATAAATAAATATATATATATATATATATATATATATATATATATATATATATATATATATATATATATATATATATATATATAATATATATAATATAGTGTGTGTGTGTGTGTGTTAACTATAAATTGTATAAAATAAATTCTTTTTTTTTTTTCTTTTTTTTTTTAGTTTTTCTTCTTTTTTGTAGTTCTGCCTTTAATAATAGTACTGTACATAAAAACTTAACTGGGATTATACTTTTTTTTGTCAGTGTCCATATGTCAAATTTGTACAGTGGTACAAGCCCGAGTCAAGTCCCAAGTCCTTTAAGTTTAAAGTATTTACATTAGATTACCAAACGTAGATTTTTTATTTTTTTTGTAAATTAGTTGATTTTTGTAAACTGTAAAAACTGAGATGGACTTCTTGATGACCTTGTACTTTGGTCGTCAGCACTGGTCCACTCACTCCAAAAGACCTGAGTCTTCACAGGAGATAGAGTGTGCTCTGGCCCTTCCTGTACAGTGTGTGTGTGTTGTGAGTCCAGTCCAGTCTGTGGTTCAGACAAACCAGGTACTTGTATGAGTCCACTCCCCTAATGTCCCTTCCCTAGATGTTCACTGGTCAGGGGATGGCTTCTGTGGAAGTCCACCACCATCAACTGCATTAATGAGAAGCTGGTTCTCCTGACCCCAGTCCACAAAGTCCTGTTAGTCCTCTGAGCTACACAAAATCCTGCCTTAGTCATCGGTACTCAACAAAGTCCCATTAGTCCTCTGAGCTCCACAAAATCTGGTCTTAGTCATCGGTACTCAACAAAGTCCTGTTAGTCCTCTGAGCTCCACAAAATCCAGCCATAGTCATAAGTACACAGCAAAGTCCGTTAGTCCTCTGAGCTCCACAATATCTGGTCTTAGTTATCGGTACTCAACAAAGTACTGTTAGTCCTTGATATTCCACAAAATCTGGCCTTAGTCATCAGTACTAACAAAGTCCCATTAGTCCTCTGAGCTCCACAAAATCTGGCCTTAGTCATCGATACTAACAAAGTCCTGTTAGTCCTCTGAGCTCCACAAAATCTGGCCTTAGTCATCGGTACTCAACAAAGTCCCGTTAGTCTTCTGAGCTCCACAAAATCCTGCCTTAGTCATCAATACTCAACAAAGTCCTGTTAGTCCTCTGAGCTCCACAAAATCCTGCCTTAGTCATCAATACTCAACAAAGTCCTGTTAGTCCTCTGAGCTCCACAAAATCCAGCCATAGTCATAAGTACTCAGCAAAGTCCGTTAGTCCTCTGAGCTCCACAAAATCTGGTCTTAGTTATCGGTACTCAACAAAGTACCGTTAATCCTTGTTATTCCACAAAATCTGACCTTAGTCATCGGTACTCAACAAAGTCCCGTTAGTCCTCTGAGCTCCACAAAGTCCTGTTCGTATTCATAAAGGTAATTACCCCCTAAACCTAATAACTGGTAGAACCGCCCTTAGCACCAACAACTGCAGTCAAGTGTTTGTGATAACTGGCAGTGAGTCTTTCGCATCACTGGAGGAATTTTGGCCGACTCTTCTTTGCAGAATTGTTTTAAATCAGCCACACTGAAGGGTTTCTGAGCATGAACTGCCTTTTTAAGGTCATGCCACAACATTCAACTGGGTTCATGTCTAGACTTTTGACTAGGCCTGGATTTGTTTGATGTGGTTCGGATCATTGTCCTGCTGCAGAACCTGAGTGTGCTTCAGTTTGAGGTCATGAACTGATGGCCGGACATTCTCCTTCAGGATTGTTGGTGGAGCAGAGTTCATGGTTCCTTCAATCACAGTGTCATCAGATCCTGAAGCAACAAAGCCCCAAACCATGACCCTACGTCAGTTCCACTGTTGGCATCATGCTCTTTTTCTCAAATGCTGTGTTCATTTTATGCCAGATGTAATGGAATGCACTATCCAAAAAGTTCAACTGTTGTTTCATCACTTCACAGAATATTTTCCCAAAAGTTTTGGGGATCATCAAGAACCTTCTCCTCAGAACTCTGCCATTTTTGCCTTGTCTCTTTTTTATGGTTGAGTCATGATCAATGAGCTTTACAGAGGTGAGTGAGGCCTGCATTTGTTTAGATGTTGTTCTGCGTCCTTTGTGACCTATTGCGTTATTGCATCAGTCATCGCTCTTGGGGTAATTTTTTGTAGGTCAGCCACTCCTGGAAGGTTCACCCCTGTGCCATGCTTTCTCCATTGTGGTTAATGGCTCTTACTGTGGTCACTGGAGTCCAAAGATTTAGAAATGCTTTGTAACTTTTCCAGACTGACATGTCAATGACTTTCTTCTGATCTGCTCCTGAATTTCTTTGGACGCAGCATGATGTCTTAGGCTCAGTGTGGCAGGTTCTATTTAAGTGATCTCTTGATTTAAAAGTCTGGCAGCATCATGTCTGGGTGTGAATATGAAACTGAACACAGCTTTCCACAATAATATGATTAATCACAATTAATTAGGTTAACTTTGTTTAATATTTAAATTTGTTTGATCTGAAACAACCTTGGACTTGGACTTGGACTTGGTTTCCAAGTAAAATTATAAATTCACACTTCTAAAAACTAGGCCTATATATGCTGTATTACACACAGCCTGGAACCGAAATAAACTTTCTGCTCTATATTTTAAAACAACAGCAAAATTTAGCACAGACAATTGCTGTTTAGGTTAATTAAGTCTTCTAACAATCACAAATTGGTTCATGTCTGACCAGTTTTCGTCTGCCGCCATATTGTGTCCAGTCGGGAATGTTTCTCAACAAAATATGAATTAACTGCCCAATAGATGAGTCAAAATTTTTACTGTCAGCCATTGTTGCAGGCTGAATAAAATATAACAAGTGAAGTTATACAAACAGGAAAATTTTAAAAAGTGAATTTACTTCAGTTGCAGTGAGCATTACATAATGGCTAATTTGCAATTAGCATTTGTGATTGGTATGAAGGTAAAATTAAACTGAATTGTTGAAGTGTCAAGTGTAACATATCTTAAGCATCTGAAACTTTCTATGTGTTTGTTAACAGTCCTGCTGTAAATACTGTCTTAAGTTAACCAGCTCTGATGTTACACATTTTCCTGAGAAACGGGGTCCCCACACCACCTATGTGCCCCTCCCCCACACCACGGCCTGAAGTTAATGGAGTAATCTTTTTTGTTTTAACTTTCCCGTTTTAAAGATCTGAAACTATTACATTTCTTATCCACTGTCAATGAGAAAGTAAAAAATAAAATAAAAAATCCCAACTAAAGCAAATAAAAATTAAACACATTTTCTGACACACAGGGCCCCACACCTGCGCCTGAAACGTTGTGTGTTTGTTAATAGTCCTGCTCTAAATAGAAGTTAACCAGCTCTGATGTCACACACACATTTTCCTGAGAAACGAGGTCCCCATACCACCTATGTGCCCCTCCCCACACAATGTGCTCACTAGCCAAATGAACAGGCAAATTCTTAGAATATTTATTTATTTATTTATTTATTTTCATCTTTTAAGATCTGACTAATTTAAAGGTTGTATAGAGGATTTTCCAAGGAACGAGAAATCCAGCGACTGTTTGTCCTTTTCAAATGTTGCGCATGCGTGAAACCACCCCCTCCCCACAGCTCCTACGTAGAAACACCTCCTCCTCCTCCTCACGCCAAAACAGGTTTGTTTACAGCCGGTCTGCACATGACTTGTAAACAACTAACTACAGTGTTGGTTAGGCAAGACGGAGAAGTGAGGACGGGGGGAGGGGGCGCGGACATTTCGTTTGCCGGACGAGAGTGAGGAGCAGGGAGAAGAGCGGAGCAGGGAGAGGAGAGGAGAGGGGAGCGGTACGCGGAGATTCCGTGCCCGAGAAGTGAGGAGAGGGGGAAGAGGGACGGGCAGCGGGGCGGAGCAGGAAAGGGTGCAGAGAAGGTTGCGTGAGATTCAGTGCGAATGAACTAACTACAACAACGCAGCAGCAAGCGGCTCTTTCTTTGCATTGAAAATTACGTTTTCAGACATAGGATACGCTTCATGTCTGAAAAACGTTTGTAGCTCTTGGAAATAAAGTACGTTTTCATAATAAGCAGAAGTTTCCTGTCAGGAGTAATTTGTGACCAGTGCGTCAGTCTTTAGACCTGCGTCTGCTTCAGTCGCGCCATCGTGGAATAATCTTCAAGAATCACCTTAGTTTGGCTTCGCTGCTTTTCCCCTTGTCTTCTTCTTTCAGCGACCTCAAAAACTGACTTTCTTTTGCGGCGAACTGCTCCGGATTCTTGTCTCCATCGCAACAAACTTGTGCGAACTGCGAGGAAGATATAGTCACAAAGACGCTAGAACTGTTGCGTGGTGGAGTAACAGCGTCTGTGCGCTTGCGTCTGTGACGCGTACAGGCGACGCAAACCCGTACCGGCGGCGCAGCAAGTCAGTTATGCTAGAAACGTGGGAGATGATTGACAGCCTGTCAGCTCACAGATAACGAGGGCAGTGTCGTTATCTATTGGCAAATGTTAGCCCACCACGTCCCGAGTTGATGAATTTTTTATTCTTTTTTTTGGTCATCATAATTACAAGGTACTGCACCTCTATAATCTATCACTGACAATTTGAAACAAAAAAANAGCAGAACACTCGACCCGAAGCAGCAGAACACTCCAGAACACTCGACCCAGAACACTCCAGAACACTCGAACCCAGACACTCAGCAGAACACAGAACCTCAGACTACACTCAGAACACTCGACCAGAACACTCAGAACACTCGACCAGAACACTCGAGCAGACTCGACCAGAACAACGAACTCGAGCAGAACACTCAGAACACACAGAACACTCGAGCAGAACACACCCAGAAACACTCGACCCAGAACACTCAGACACTCGAACACTCCAGAACACTCGCAGAACACTCGCAGAACACTCGAGCAGAACACTCAGAACAGACCCAGAACACTCGCCAGAACACTCGAAACACTCGAGCAGAACACTCGAGCAGAACACTCAGAAACACTCGAGCAGAACACTCGAGCAGAACACTCGAACAGCAGAACACTCCAGAACACTCGAGCAGAAACACTCGAGCAGAACACTCGCAGAACACTCCCAGAACACTCCAGAACACTCGACCCAGAACACTCGAGCAGAACACTCAGAACACTCAGACCCAGAACACTCAGAACACTCAGAACACTCGAGCAGAACACTCAGACCCAGAACACTCGACCCAGAACACTCGACCCAGAACACTCGAGCAGAACACTCGAGCAGAACACTCGAGCAGAACACTCGAGCACCCAGAACACTCGACCCAGAACACTCGAGCAGAACACTCAGAACACTCGAGCCCAGAACACTCGAGCAGAACACTCGAGCAGAACACTCGAGCAGAACACTCGACCCAGAACACTCGAGCAGAACACTCAGAACACTCGACCCAGAACACTCGACCCAGAACACTCGACCCAGAACACTCGAGCAGAACACTCGACCCAGAACACTCGACCCAGAACACTCGAGACCCAGAACACTCAGAACACGACCAGAACACTCGAGCAGAACACTCGAGCAGAACACCCAGAACACTCGAGCAGAACACTCGACCCAGAACACTCGAGCAGAACACTCGAGCAGAACACTCAGAACACTCGACCCAGAACACTCCACCCAGAACACTCAGACCCAGAACACTCAGCAGCAGCAGAACACTCGAGCAGAACACTCGAGCAGAACACTCGAGCAGAACACTCGACCCAGAACACTCGAGCAGACCCAGAACACTCCACCCAGAACACTCGACCCAGAACACTCGAGCAGAACACTCGACCCAGAACACTCAGAACACTCGACCCAGAACACTCCACCCAGAACACTCCACCCAGAACACTCAAGAACACTCGAGCAGAACACTCGACCCAGAACACTCGAGCAGAACACTCGAGCACTCCAGAACACTCGAGCAGAACACTCGACCCAGAGAACACTCAACCCAGAACACTCGAGCAGAACACTCGAGCAGAACACTCGAGCAGAACACTCGACCCAAAGCTCATGGCGAAGCACTGGCCGGAGGATTCACAAATGATTCTGAGGTAAGTACTGTACATCAGTTACTTTAGCTGCCAACTTTTATTTGGTGTTTTGTTGTATTTACATTTGCTGTAATCTTTAGCTAGTGCTAAATATCTTAGCTTGTTAGCTTGTTGTCACAGTCATTTATTAAAGGTGCTACTGCTAATTAGCTTAGCTTCTTGTTAGCTTGTTGTGGCATGGTACTTTTTTATTTAAGAGGTGATTTTTTCTAATGAGGCCCATAAGGCATTAACACAGTTTTTTTTATAACTTTATATTGTTATAAAAAAAAGCAGAGGAATAACAGTGAGGCTTTAAAAACGTGTCAGACTCTGAGCTAAAGTGGTGCTTATGTGGAGCTAAAAGCAATAAGAGCATTAGTGTTTTATTGGTAACTCTTATATAAATAGTAAATTCATGTTTGTAGTTGTTTTTGACACTGGATCTCCTTTTAATGTGTTACATGTGCTACTGAGAGTCAGTCCACAGAAATGACATAAATGCAGTACACTCAGACTTCAGACTATAGTTTGTAATGTGCAGATGAATCACGTGTTATTTTTCTGTTATGGACACCAGTTTAAAGACTTTTCACCATTAAAAATATAGAACATTTAGTTGTCATTTCTACAGCACCAGAAGCACAGTATTATAAAATATGTTTTAAAATGTGTATTAGACTTTAAAATAAAAAGATGTTATATTTAGTAAAACACTTTGTTTTGCAGAGAGGTTACTTCAAACCTCAGGCTGAAGGCTCGTATGGAGCGTCTGAGGAAACATCATAATCAGAACTTATCAAAGCACATGGAGTGGATGAAGCACCTGGCACAGGTAACTTTCTCCAAACATCCTTGAGTCCTTATCTCTGAGATCTTTCTCAATAATGGTTTAAATATAAAAATCTAAATGTTTTCTGTCCTTGAACTTAAACATGACTGATCTGCTGACAGTGCACTCTTGTTCTTCACAGAATACACAAGATGCTCCTGTTCCACCCTGTATGAACACTGAGCACTCTGATGTTCCACCCTGTATGAACACTGAGCACTCTGATGTTCCACCTTCACCTAGGCGAGGGGGGGCGGCTCCGCGGACTAGACCTGTCCCATTTCAGCCTTCGGAGCCTTCGGAGCCTTCGGAGCCTTCGGATTGGGACACAGCCCTTGAAGCATCGGCTCAAGAGTCGAACAAATGGATGCAACGCTTCTTTTTAATTTTAATTTTATTATTTTTTTATTTATTTTTTGACACTTCAGAGCTTCATCTCGACGTCACTATTTTTCCTGGAGCCTAAACCCAGTTCCTAATTTTTTGTTTTTATATTTTCATTACCGATAATTATTCCTATTTTGTCTGATTTAACATTTACTTAAAATGCAGGACTTTTGGTTATTTTGGTCATTCTTTATGGTTAACATCATTATTTGATTACTGGTTGATTTGCTTAAAGATAATTTGATTTACATTTTTCTTCCAATTAATTATTGCTCATGTGAATCATAAATTTTCCCCAATATTGTTTTTATTATTTTGTGTCTGTGGCTCCTTATTGAAGACGAGTGCAGGTGCATCGTGGGAGTGTGGAGTGAAGCCCAACAGATTTTTACCTCCTGTCGCTCTTCACCTGTAAAAAAAACTCTTTGCAGGTTTGTGTTTTTAACTAAACGTGAAAACTCCAGAAACAGAAAAGGACCAGTGAGTTTGTCCACACTGTGATTAAAACCCGACGTGAAACTGAAGCAAAGAATAAAACTCCAAACTCACGTCAGTCGAGAGTTGGACTCAGACACTTCCTCTGACACTGGAGTCTTTGAAAACCTGGATTTTATTTGGTTTGTATTTTTTAATAAGAACATTTGGAGTCGTGTTTGATCTTCAGATATTTTCACCTGAGACACGTCACAAGTATTTGGACGCTGCAAATTTGAACTATGGACATTTGATTACGTTTAAATTTAATCCAGAAGCTTCAGAAGTGACACTGAAAACTTGGGCAATGTGCTGGAATTTTGAAGAGAAGTGGAGCTGTAGAACATCTGAGACGAGTCAAATATTCTTGATCTGTGTTCATCAAACCAGAGTGTGGCTCATCAGGTCAAACATGTGGAGTTGTTGTGGTGAAGTCACACTCTGGGTGTTAAAGACTCTGGTCTCCAGTGTGAACAGGCGTCGGTTTAACACTGCTGATAACATTTAAACCAAACCGTGACTGATTTAATGAGCTCTACCACATGATGACATCACAAAGTGGAACAGAGCGTTTTCAGTTTGAGAAGAACTTGTGCAGGTTTGTGTGAAACGTGTGAATCAAACAAAACTCCAGAATAATCAGTGTGTCATTCGTTTTTCAAACTAAAACCAAAAATAAGAAAATGAAAAAAGTTTTCTTCATTATTTGTCTCCAAAACCAAAATGAAAAAACTGATGATTCATTTTCTGATTTTGTGTTTACATGAAAAATGGAAAAAACATAACTGTTTCCTGTTTACGTGACTTCAGTGACTGTGATGTCGGACTGAACCAGGACTGAGACTGAGACCTGACCGAGATCAGAACCAGACTGGGACCAGACCAGAGGCTCAGAGCCCACACCAGGGCCGGAGCTCAAAGCTGAGGCTCTGGTTCCGGTCTGGTCCTGGACCCTGGATCAGTCCTGGTTCAGTCCGACATCACAGTCACTGAAGTCACGTAAACAGGAAACGGTTATGTTTATTCCATTTTTCATTTAAACACAAAATCAAAAAATGAATCAGTTTTTTCATTTTGGTTTTGGAGACAAATAATGAAGAAAACTGTTTTTTCATTTTCTTACTTTTGATTTTATTTTGAAAAACAAATGGACACACAGATTCCACCAGGTCTGTGTGAGGAAGAAATCACATGAAAACAGATCGAAGACCAAGTTGTTAGAATAATTGTAGTAACAAAACTGGTCCCTGAACTCGAGTGAAGAACGACCCTGTCTGTGTGACAGGTGCGACAGGTGCAGGAGAGACGACAGGGAGGCGAAGTTTGAACCTCGTTCATTTATTTACAAATAAACCAAAGTTTTTTTCCTCAGACTCGTGACGGGTACAGCATCTGAAACAGACAGGAGCAGACAGGGACAGACAGGTGAGAAGACGACAAACGCAGGAAACTTCAAACTCATTTAAAAAAGCACACGGGGATATAAAGTACAGTACTGCATATACTGTAATACTGTATGTGTATTTAAAGTACAGTACCGCCCACATTAATACTGTACACAGATGGAGTACAGTACTGCATATACTGTAATGTAACTGTACATGTACACAGTAATAAGACAGTAGTATAACAGTAGTACACAGACAGTACACAGACAGTACACAGACAGTACACAGACAGTACACGTGCAGATAGAAGCGTCTCACCACTCGTACGCGGTGTCCGATGGCCTTGGCGGGGAGGTTCCTGTTGAACTTGGCGCGGACCATCCCACTGCTGCCGTGAGCTCGCATCACTTTGCCCCAAATCACACGAGTCTTGTTGGGTTTACCACCAGGGGTCACTGTGTTCCTGCGAAACACACACAACACACTCGTGACGAAGAGGAAGAGGAGGAGGACGAGGAGCAGAACCTCACGCGTGTTCAAATAAAACTAAACCGACTAAGCAGCTCAACGACACAAACTGAACCTGGACCTGTGCTGCAGATCTGACGTCGATTTAAAGTCGATGAGCTCAAACTGTCAATAATGGTCCTGACGTGTCCACAAACTCCAAACGCTTCAGTGTCTCAGACTGAGCCCCGTGAGCTCGAGGACGTGAGAGTCACACGGACACAAAGTTTTACTCAAACATCTCCAAAGCCACAAATGCTCTGCTCCACCTTGTGATGTCATGGAGTGGTAGTTTAAGTGAACAGCTCTGAAATGATCCAAATGATTCTAGTGAAAATGAGTTTAAAACCACAGTGGAGCGCTTCCTGTTTTATCACATGACATCACATGTTTGAGAGAAGAACTCAGGTCCGTTTATGACGAGGAAAACCACATTAGAGCAGAACAGGATTGTGGGACATTGAAAGTCCTTCCTCGTGTTGCGTGGACCTTGGACACGTTTAGACTCATGTTTACACAAATCATTTAAAGAATCACTTAGTTTTTTGGCACCAAAGTCAAAAAAAAAAAAAAAAAAAGCACCATGTTGTAACTGGAACTGATGCTGAGTCTAACAGTAAATGTACAGTAAAAAATAAAATGAAAATAACAAAATCTAAAATCACAGCTTTATTCTTGGCCTCAGACCGGCAAACTCCTCAGAGAAAAAAAGGTGACTGAGGGGTAACACGTTCTAAAAATAATGAATTACTGTTCTACGTTGCTTTTTGCTGTAACGCAGTAATGTGGAATTACAGAGGAAAAAATGTAATATTTTACTCGGTACAAATGTAACGCGCATCACAAAGCTTTTTTAACCAGGATTGAAGTGGTGGGTTTTTTGTTTTTCTTCATACAAATTTGCTAAAATCAGCGCGATATCAGCAGCGGTGAAACACCGGAGACACGCCCACAGACCATCAGGAAAGAGCGGGAAAAAGCACCAACACAGAACGAACCGCAGCTGATGCCCGATCACACCTCAAACACCCTGTCTGCAAGGAGCTTCCAGGTCTAGTCCTGGTCTAGTCCTGGTCTAGTCCTGGTCTAGTCCTGGTCTAGTCCTGGTCTAGTCCTGGTCTAGTCCTGGTCTAGTCCTGGCCTAGTCCTGGCTTAGTCCTGGTTCAGTCCTGGTCTAGTCCTGGTCTGGTCCTGGTTTAGTTCAGTCCTGGTTTGGTCTTGGTTTAGTCCTGGTATAGTCCTGGTCCAGTCCTGGTCTAGGCTCGTGTATCTCCATACGTGCATTCACTTTCTGTACATTCTAGAAGTTGCAGTTTTGACGCTTGTGTCGGGGGAAACGCTGAGGTGGAAACAGGCCCTGACCATGTGACCCGTGCGGCTGGTACCATGTGGTGCGAAACATCCAGACAGAAGCGCGAAACTCATTTGGTTGGTTCTATGTCGTTCTGAGCGGTTCATCCTTCACACATTTGGCTCTTCCCGGGGAAAGCGCTTCTCAAACCCCGCTCCCTGACCTGAACCAGACCTGAACCAGACCTGAACCAGACCTGAACCAGACCTGCTGCCGCCGGGTCAGGACTCTCGTTTGGACGCTGTTCCTCAGACATGTGTTACTAGTTCTGCCCATAGAGCATCACTGCATAAAAGAAAACACTTCCACCAGTGATTAGAAATTAATTTTACACTCATGAACTTCATTGTAACACAGACATATTTGTATCTCTGGAAACCTCAGACTCTGAACTCTTCATTTCTGGATGTTTAAATGTGATTCAACTCATTTACAGGTTTATAACAGCTCAGTGAAAATGAGTTTACCTGGTCAGGTGCAAACTCGAAAACAAAAAACTACATTCAGCATCTGATATCTGCATGTTCTGAGTAATATATTCACAAAAAACTAAAAAATATACTTTGTCAAAGTATTTAAACAGATTTCATATCACCAGATACAGTAAAGCCAAGTGTTCACCTGTTTTTACCTGTTGTTCACCTGTGTGCACCTAATTCATTTTATCCATTTACCTTATTCAACTCATTTAATTTATTCAACTCATTTAGCTTATTATAATATAATAATAAAACTCTTCCCCGTCAGTGTGTGTCCAGTATTTATCATCTTGGTTATTTTCTCGTGTGCAGAGCTCCACATAAGTGTTTGTTTCTGTAGTGATTGTTATACGTCGCATCTTGGAAAAAAGACTGAAATATTTTAAAGGACTCGTCTGAGCAACATCCAGATTTCAGGGACAGTTTTGGTTCATAATCGAGTATAAAGCTCAGATAGTTTGTTTGGACATCGCAGGACTCCACACAGACGCATCAGCTGTATTCTCATCTTCGTAAGTTTCACTCTCTGTAAGTCCGTCACTGTCTCTGTTTTCCACTTTATAATCACCTTCATCATCACTTTGAAATCTATAAAAGTCACTTTCTCTAAACTTATCCATAAAATACATCCCCTCCTCATCATTTCTAAAACTGCGCCGCAGCACCGCGATCTTTCCATTGCTCGTGTTTCGTGTTGTGTTTTTTCCGGAAGCTCCATCGTCACTACTTCGATTAACTTCGGAAAAAATCGGCGAAAACATCTCCTTGAATCCTATTGGTCAGTCTAGTGTGGGTCGTAGTGGCTCCACCGATCACAGTCTCTGTTTAAATGTGAAAAACCGAGCCGTTTCTAAAGGTCGTCAAATCACGTCTTTAGTGAAACAGCGGAGGAGTCAAAAGTCGTCATTAAGGAAACAGGGGGACGTCAAATGTCGTCTTCATGGGGGAAAGAGTAAACAACAAACCGAGACGACAGAAAAGCCGGGAGCAGCTGAAGTGTGCTTCCGGTCCACGTAAATATGTTGGTGTCCCTGACCAATCAGAACCCCCCAGATGCTGAGCGGAATTAAATAAAGACAATTTAACATGTTTTCCATGTAATCCTCAACTCAGAATTATTTCTATTTAAACTCGAAGAAGAATTTAATCTGAACTCGAGCAGAGCCGAAAGACGACAAGTTTGCAGGTATGTGGCCTTGTAGACGTAGTACTTTTACTGTAGTAGTAGTAGTATTGGTGGTAGTAGTAGTAGTAGTCACTTCTTGGCCTTGTAGACGTAGTACTTTTACTGTAGTAGTAGTAGTAGTACTCACTTCTTGGCCTTGTAGACGTAGTACTTTTACTGTAGTAGTATTGGTAGTACTCACTTCTTGGCCTTGTAGACGTAGTACTTTTACTGTAGTAGTAGTAGTAGTAGTAGTACTCACTTCTTGGCCTTGTAGACGTAGGCGCAGCGTTTGCCCAGGTAGAAGTGGACCTCGTCTCGGGTGTAGCAGCCCTCGAGCTTCAGCAGAGCCGTGTGCTCGCGCTGGTTCCTCAGACCGCGTTTGTACCCGGTGAAGATCGCCTTACTCCACAGTCTGACAACACACACACACACACAGTAAGATACACATACACACACACACAACACACAGTAAGATACACATACACACACACAACACACAGTAAGATACACACACACACACACACACATAGACACACACACACACACACACACACACACAGTAAGATACACATACACACACACACACAACACACACACAGTGTAAGATACACACACACACACAGTGTAAGACACACACACACACAGTGTACAAGACACACACAGTGTAAGACACACACACACACACACAGTAAGATACACATACACACACACACACACAACACACAGTAAGATACACACACACACACACACAGTAAGACACACACACACACACACAACACACAGTAAGATACACACACACACACACAAAGATACACATACACACACAGTAAGATACACACACACACACAAAGATACACATACACACACAGTAAGATACACATACACACAACACACAGTAAGATACACACACACACACACAACACACAGTAAGATACACACACACACACAACATACACACACACACAGTAAGATACACATATACACACACACACACACACAGTAAGATACACATACACACACACACACACACACAGTAAGATACACATACACACACACACACACACACAGTGTAAGATACACACACAGTAAGATACACATACACACACACAGTAAGATACACACACACACACACACACACAGTAAGATACACATACACACAACACACACAACAC